TGTTATGGTGATTATTGACGAGAGCAACTCAAGTTATGATTTACTCATTTGGGTTCTTGAAAATCTAAAAGATACCATTGAGAGCTCCAAATTTTTTATCTTTGCAAAACAACCACAAAATTCATTTACCCCTACTACTGTACTTTCATCATCAGTGGGCTCTGCTCAAATTTTCTTTCCATTTTCATCCAGTTAAGTCGTTTTATGCACTATTTTTTAAGAGTTTTTTCATAGAGAAATCTTCAAATTTGAATATTAATACTTTTTGTTATATGTGTGCTTTTGTGTGTGTTTTGCAGATGCAGAACTCATAAGATTGGCTCAAGAAAAGAATAAGAAGATTGCTTTGGGTATATTAGACAAAGCCAAGAAGATATGTCTAAATCATGGGGTAATCTCTTGACCAATTCATATTTATGGAATTTTTTTTTTTTTTTTGAAAACAAAATAGTAAGGAAATCAACGTTTTATCGTTTCGCTTAACTATTTATAAACGTTTTGATGGCTTGATAATCTGTATTTATATGGATCTAAGAAATTAGTATGAGTTCTTGTCTAACATGTTGAAATCTTTAGTCTTAATATTTCATCATGATAATGTTGTAAACAGATTAAAGCCGAGACACTTACCGATATCGGAGATCCTAAGAATATAATCCGTAAGATCATTCAAGAGCAAAAAATCGATTTATTAGTTATGAGCGATCAACAAACCCGAACTCTCAAAAGGTAAGACAATTCATAAAGAACTCAATCATAATTATTCCAAATGAATTATTTATCCAATAAAAAAGCTTACTAATGTATGAAAAAATTTGTGATAACGACCGTTTTTGAAATAAATGCAGGTGTTTAAATAATACAAATTGCTCTTTTCTTGTCGCAAGGAGTGGACTTCGCAAAGATTAATTAACGAAGTTATGAAACGTCAAAACAAAAAGAAACAAAACTCGTTTGCGGTGTGTATATATATGAGTCTTCTTATGTGGGGTTATGGTTGAAC